TAAGAATTGCACACTTTTACTGCTGGCTTCTCTGGATATGGTTCAAGCCGTGTTAGGAGAAAAGGCAGCCAAAGAAATTAAAAAAATATCACTGTTAAATAACACAGTAAAAAGACGAATTGACGATATGTCTAATAATATTGAAGAAAAACTGGCTTTGAAACTCCAAGAATGCACTTATTTTGCGCTTGAAGTTGACGAAAGCACTGATGTTACAAACATGGCGCAACTACTTGTTTTCGTGCGATTTGATTATAATGAAGAGATGCAAACCACTTGAATCAAATACCACACGGAACAAATTTTTAAGGTAATTGATGAATATGTGGTCAAAGTAGGTCAATGTAGTGTATTGTCTTGTGTACAGAAGGGGCAAAAGCTATGTCAGGAAAATTGACAAGGCTAACAGCAAAAATGAAGGGAGTTGCTCCTGAATACAAAAGTACGCATTGTGTCATCCATCGAGAAGCATTAGCTGCTAAAGATATGCCGAAAAATCTTGACTCCGTTCTATTAGATGCTGTGAAAGTTATTAACTTCATAAAGGCTAGGGCTCTAAACACAAGATTATTCTCCGTGATGTGTGAAGAAATGGGTGGCAAGTTCAAAACTTTACTCGTGTATACAGAAGTGAGGTGGTTATCTCGCGGGAAAATTTTGAACCGTCTCTTTGAACTGAGATCAGAAGTTTTCATGTTGTGAAAAAAATCATGACATGAAAATTTTTTTGCTGATGACGAATGATTGTAAAGATTGACTTACCTAGCCGACATTTTTGACAAACTCAACACACTGAACCTGGGACTTAAGGGACCAAACACAACAGCCTTCACACCCAGTGACAAAATAAACTTCTTCAAAAGAAAGTTGGTCCTGTTTTGTTCACAAATAGGAGAATTTATTTCCATATCTCCAATACCAGATGTGGTTGCAGATATTATGGACTGGATCAGAAATCCTTCTTCGGGAACCTCACCAAATGAATTGGAAGTAAAAGAAAGTTTCATCGACCTTATAGAAGATAGTTCCATGAAATCTTTAACTAATTTCTGGATCGGATGTAAAACCGAGTACCCTTTGCTCTTCCGGCAAGCTCTGCTATTTTTGATGCCATTTGTTACGAGTTAATTGTGTAAGAGTGGATTTTCTGAACTCTTGTACATAAAAAATGAATATAGAAGCAGAATAAGTGTTGAAGATAACTTAAGAGTGAAGATCAGTTCCATTACTCCTAATGTTAATATTTTAATGTAAATCAATAACATTTTAATATTTTTATTCCTCCTTTATTAGAAGCATGTTATAAATAAACAAATATCTAACCATTAAATATGAAGTTTTGTCAGCAATTTGATTGAAAAAGCCTTTGAACACTTTTAGAAGAGTGAATATTATACGTTTATTGAAATATTTAGGTCTGCAAAAAGGTTGAGAACCCCTGGTCTAGAAGATGTAAATAACAACGCTCGCCCTGGACACACCAGCACATCAACAACCGATGAAATAGTTGATGAAGTGAAGATTGGGGTTAATGTAAAGGTGTAAAGGTGGAGTGTTCAATTTAGTCTATTGACCTTTCTGTTCTGATTCAGATTTTCAATTAATAACAATTAATAACTTGTATCCATCTGTCCCATTCATCTCGTACCACGCTCTCTGATCATTCGTTCGCAATGCGTACCCATTCACTATTTCTCCCATTTCTATCTTCCAGTTGCATTCTACCCCTTTCCTGTTCCATTTTCTTTCTATTCTTTCCACCCAACCTTGTCTTCATGCGTACATCTCTCAAGTACGTGATCTGCCATTTCAGGCTCATCCCACCCACATGGGCAAGGCACTTCCGGTTCCAGGTTGAATCTAGCCAGTTAACCCGGGAAGTTGCCATGCCCTGTGAACAACTGGGCGACATTTCTCGACAGATTCAGTGCTTCATACCCGATTGCTCTACAGAACCTGTATAGCAGTCATATCGTTGTCCCATTCTCGCTGCCATTCTTCCTTGATTCGCTCTTTCATCCTTTTTCTCTCTTCATTCTTATCATTCATTATTTTTACTTCCCAGCTAACACGATCCTTATTAGTACCTTTAGTGGCCTCTTCATGCGCTTTTTTATTACCAATGTTATTGTTTCGATGTCCTTTACGCCATACTATTTCAGTCCGTGCTCCCCTCACCTTCCTCTCTTCAATCATTCTCTGGATTCTCGCTACTCTTTTATTCCTCACTCGTATTGCTTTCATTCTTTCCACCGCTATGGCGGAATCGCTGACGATTCTCACTTTTTCATTCATGCTCCACGTGCTGACCACTCTCTCTATCGTGATCAGTTCAGCTTCATTCACACTATTCTGTTCCGGGATCCTTTCATTTCCTATGACCCAGTCGCCCTCGCTCCTTTCATACGCCCAGCCTATGCCCATTCGCCCGTCCTCCATTCTCGCTCCTGCTTCCACGTATACTTCAGTCATTCCCACGTCCTGCTCATCCTCTAATAACATCCCTTGCATCCAAGTAAGTACCTTGTCTATTCCTTTCATTCTATCTAATATGTACGATTAATGTACAGAGTGTATTTATATGAATGAATATTTAAAAGAATATGTACTTATATCTAAAGGGCACTACAATGGAGAATCGTCGAATCACTATAAGAGAAGTTGTTGAGGATGTCGGCATATCGGTTGGCTCATGCCATGCAATTTTTTCGAAAAGTTTGAGCATAAAACGTGTGACAGCGAAGTTCGTTCCAAAATTGCTGAACCAAAGTCCAATCGTCCCAATGGAAGAGCTTAGCTTAAACCAAAAAAGCACGTGAAGTTCGATCAAATGTCGAGGTTTCGCTCACAGTGGCGTAGTACATCAGGAGTTTTCGATACAAGGTCGTACGGTCAATAACGAATATTATCTTGAAGTTATTCGCTACTTACGAGAAGCAATACGGAGAAAAATGCCACTGCTCACGGCGTTTGCGTCAAGATAATGCACCTGCTCACATGGCATTGCTTAATTCACCATGCCACATCCACCGTATTAACCAGATTTAGCGCCATGCGACTTTTTTCTTTTCCTCAGATTGAAGAAATCCATAAAAAACGGCATTTTTCGACGACTGAGGAGATAAAAACCGAATCGCTAGAGAGGTCAAGGACATACAAAAAAGTATCTATCAGAACTGCTTCCAAGATTGAAAAAACCGCTGAGGGGCACTACTCTGAAGGAGACAAAATAAAAATGTTGAATACGTAAATGTATTTTGGTGAAAATTAATATTTACTTTATTTTTTGAACAGACCCCGTACATTCTATCTCTTTGCCATTTCTTATTTGCCACATTGAAAAAAACCCATTCTTCGAAATATGTTTTCGAAGTATAAAATTATAGTGAAATAAAATACAAGTAAAAAATAGAACAACTAAACTAGTGTCCGACCGAAAGTTCGATTTCGGTCGAGTTTCGGCAAAAAACGGGTTTCGGTTTCGGCGGCAAACCTGCCGAAACTACGACCGAAACTGCTTTCGGGAGTTCTCGCGCTGTGATCGGTCATGTTCGGCGTGTTGAATTTCATACAAGCGACGAAGAAATTTTGCCGTGTCCACGTGCCTAATCAAGTCATGGCTCGTAACTTACTTTGCGATTTAATTTGTTTATAACATAAATATTAAGTACCTAGTGTGATATTAGGTAACAACTTAAATATTATGGAGTTTTTTCCCAATATCAAACCGTTAATTTAACACCTCAGTTAAAAAAAAACCATTAATAATAGTCAACAGAAGAATCTACACCTACTCAAATAAACACCTCATATATTTCAAGTATTTTCAAGGTGTAATTAATATTTTTTCTTAAATAAGGGATGTTTTGTTGATTATCAAAAAGAAAAAATGTCGAAGATTTCATAACGTTGTGATTTAAAGATAAAATAAAGACTGGCTGATTATAATAACGTTTTCTTTATTTCTCCATCGAAACATAATCCTTGTAAGGAAGTTTCGGTTTCAGCCTTAATTGATAGACCGTTGCCGAAATTCGGTTTCGGTTTCAGTCGTAAAAACCAGTTTCGGTTCGGTTCGGTTCATTTGTATTGGTTCTTTTAGGAATTTCAAATCATTTTATATAATATTAGACAATGGAAGTGTGAACTAATGAAATTCATCATGGAACATTGTCAATCACGTTCAAACAAGGATAATTCTTTTCCTGAATTTGCTTTATATGACGTGAAACATCATTTGAAATCAAATTTGCAGTATGTACAGTATGTAGTGATGTAACGTTTTTCTTTGCTTTTCTGCAGTTAGAGATGTATTCATCACATTCCGCCTTGTAAATCATGTATGCTTGAAGAAAATTAAATTATATTATGCCAATATTTTATCACTCGAAAATGTTAATTGTTTCATTAAGCAGGAAGGGTGAAAGATAGCCATAGGCTAACCCCTATGTGTAATGGGGAATGTTCCTCCTGACGAAAATCAAGTAGTTTTCATAAAAGAGCTCTGAAACAACGCATTTTGGACTTATCATTTGAACCTTTTTCTTTAAAAAATTATTTAAATACTTAAAAAAGAGGAATGAAATGATGCATTCAACATTTAAAGGGATACGTTTCTATTTCTAATTAAACTCAACTTTATTTTGTTCAAACCTGCATTTGCTCTAATAACCCAAATTGAGGAACATTCCCCATTGTGTGTAATTCATTCACAATAAAGTTATTATCGCCATCCAGTGATTATGTGTATGCATAGTGAGGACGGGTGAACGAGCTATTTGCCATGTTCATCTCAATAATATTCATGACTGGAACATAACAAGAAATAGCGATCAAATTTGCTCGGCATAAAAAATACCCAATGGAATATTCCTTGTTATTTTTCAGGAATCACAACTTATGAATATTTTTCTAATGGAATGGTATCTCACCTACCTCAATCCTTTCTAAAGTGTCTAAAAACTACAATGAATAAATGAGACAAGAATAAAAAACAAAGATACACTTATTCCTATCGAATGGTATATTTACACATGAAATATGTACATTTTATAAAAATAATTGGATACAATAAAGCATAAATAAATTAACTTTTCAAGTATCAAGTTGTTCTGAAGAGGGGAAATTTTCAGCGTTAAGGCTACTAGGCATTTCATTAAAGTGCTTGATATTTTTTGAAAAATATGACTCCAACTGAATGAATCCAAGTGATGAAAAGAACACTTTTTGTCTCAGGGATATTTCTTTTTCTTCCTGTGACATATTTAATCATATAATGGAAAAGTTGTCGCTACCAAGCAGCCCTATGCAGAAACTTCGGCAAGTAATTGAACACAAAAATTAAGTATCAGTTTGTTCCTTCAAATATGTTTTCACACCAAGCATTTTATTTTTCTTTATACGTTGGATTGTCTAACCCATTTTTTATTTTCTCATCATGGTCATCTCCATTTGTGTCCTTGAGTTCTTCTAGTTCACTGGTCTCCGATTGTACGTACTTGTACTTCATTGCCAAGAAAGCGAATAGAATTATGTCTACGACCATCAAACCAGTGTAAAGGAAGAAATCATTCGACTGAAACAAAAAATATTTTAAATTGGATTGCGGTGAAAGCCTGATTGAAATAACATACGGATACATTTACGTCTTTCAAGACAATAAGAAATAAATATAGTTTAGAAAAATTAAAAAACACGCTTTTAAAGAACATCGAACTGAAAAGTTAAAAATAGTTTTTTTAAATGAGCTTGAAACAATAATGAACGAAAAATACTAGTATTATTGTGAAAAAAGCGACGGGCGCCTGATATACAAAAATATGGCACAAAACGCCCACGATTTGTTCACAATAATACCTACTAGTATTTTTCGTTCGTTATTGTTTAAAAAAATATTTTTAACTTTTTAGTTCGATGTTCTTTGAAAGCGTGTTTTTTAGTTTTTTTAAACTGTATTTATTTACCTTAATTCTAATTTTTCGATTTTTTGAAATATTTAAGTAACTATATATTTTTAGGTGTACAATTTATGATAAAGTTTTCATTGTTGAAATCCATATTCTGGTTTGCTTTCATATAATCGAATTAGATTTTAAAATGTATCTTCCGTTTCTTTCAAAACTTTTTTCTGTACTGAATCACGGGTAATTGTAAATATTTGAATATTTCATCTTTAGTACACAATTTCGCTAACACTTATAATTCTTGAAATATGTTTTTTATTTTGATTTTCTTTTGAACAAGCTATCAAGGAGGTTACATATAGCGGCATCTGCCCGCGAATAACTCAAGCAATAATTGATAGTTACGTGCAGCGCCATCTGCCCGCAAACAGATCAAGCAATAATTGATAGTTACGTACAGCGCCATCTGCCCGCGAATAGATCAAGAAATAATGCCGATAATTCTGTCAATACAGATCCCGAGCTTGAGAGTTACAAACAAACATACATACAAACAAACATACATGCATACGTACATACATACATACAGGTGAAGCTAATATAAAGCGTGTAAAAAAGTGATTCAGGCAAATCAGGTCTTGAAACGTGACTTCCAAAACCGAAAATTATGATAAAAGTGTCATTTGCTTCGGAGTGGAATCTAATAATCAAACGAAATTTTTGAAGAAGAGTCGGTGAAAATTGCAAGAGTTATGAAAAATTGTATGGAAAATTTACTCGTTTTTTGAAAATCTCAAATACTGTTTGAGATTTGATAGTTCGTACTGGAACCTCTGGTGTGAAATAAATATATTGAAGACACTCTGCCAACACCAGAACAAAAATTACGGCTTCTCGACTCGCGTTTTGCTCGCGTCTTCAGGAGATAATAATAATAATAATATTTATTTTCCATTAGACACAAACAAGTATTGGAATCGTCAAAGTACACATGAAAAAAATTCACAGTGTGAGCCACACCGTTGTTATTAAAACAACAACAATAAAATTAAATTAAAATAAAATACAGCACAGATACACTTACATATTACGAATCGTAAAATTCTTGCAAATTATAAGAACAATTCTCAATCAAATAATTCTTCAGCAAGTTGAGGTTTGTTATATCTCTTAAACACCTAGGGAGCTTATTCAAAATTGTAAGACCTACCACTGTTGGACAATTGAATGTTGTTTTATATAGACGAAACGGAACATGGAGATCACGTTTTTGTCTAGTGTTCACATTGAAAATTAAATCTATTCTTGTTTTTAAAAACATAGATTGACAGTTCAAAGATGTACATACAGGATATGGTTTAAATTCTAAATTTTCGAAATATATCCCTACAAGAAAATGTACTAGGAACTCCTGCTACTAGTCGAATATTTATTTTCTGTACAACAAACACATCTGAAGCTAGTGTAGAGTTACTCAATATACATATGCCATATCGCAACCTTGTCGCAACTTGCGCGTGATATAATGATAATAATAGTTGTTGTTCTGTCAAAATGCTGTTGAGGGTTCATCAACTACATCTCAACATTTGAGATCCACAAACTTTCTTTGAAAAATATATATCACAACATGTTTCGCTAACCCAGTAGCTTTATCAAGTGATTTGAATACTTCGAATTGCTTGTTACACTAATATTCATATACTACAGGTAACCATAATTGAGACTACCTCAAAAAAATTACCTAAACTTCTACCTCTTCAATTATGAACACCTGGAGCATATTTCCTCACATCTACATCAATAATAATTCTTTCTCGGTTTTGAAGAAAACAAAATCAATAATGGTGATCTATTCAAATCCAGTTGGTCATTCATTAGAATGTTCGAAGTTTTGAGTTTATTAATTTCCATTGCTTCCAAATGATTCAGTTTCAAACTGAACTGAAAATTTTGAACTCTTCGACAAAGATATGGTTTTCTTCTAGCAGATGATTTCAATTTGATCAATTTGTTTTCTTATTTACATAGCTCATATTATGTTCCTGAATTCAATTCCTTAATGTTCGGCCAGTTTGACCAATATATACCTCAGGACACGTTCCACACTTTATTATTTTCAACTAACTTACCCAACGTATTACTTGTTCTTGTTGTTATAGAATACGCTGGGAAAGTAAGTAAGGGAGCAAATTGCAACATACAATGGATTTGAAACCGAACTAATAAACATAATACTTTCCAAAAAAGTTTACGCAAAGGCGACTCGAGACGTTTTTCTTATTAATAAGCTAGATAATCAAAATTATAGAGCTTTAACGTATTTTGTACAATCAACAGAAAAAGTGGCTTCATTTTTCAAAAAAGGAGATATAAAAATTACATATAGAACAAGTAATAGGTTGGGAAAGTTACTTAAAAATAATAAAGATAAAACATCCAAATTCAACAATCAGGAGTATATAAATTAAAGTGTGGAACGTGTCCTGAGGTATATATTGGTTAAACTGGTAGAACATTTAGGAATTGAATCTAGAAACTACATATGAGCTATGTAAATAAGAAAACAAGTTCAACATATTCAAATCATCTCCTAGAAAAAATCATATCTTCAACGAAGAGTTTGAAATTTTGCACATAGAAAAAAAAGGTTTGAAACTCAAAAATTCAAACAATCTAATGAATGACCAACTGGATTTGAATAGATCACCATTATTGATTTTGTTTTCTTCAAAACCGAGAAAGAATTATTATTGATTTAGATGTGAGGATATATGCTCCAGGTGATCATTTTTGAAGAGGTACCTTAGGTAGAAGTTTAGGTAATTTTTTTGAGGTAGTCTCAATTATGGTTACCTGTAGTATATAAATATTAGTGTAAGAAGCAACTTGAAGTATTTAAATCTCTTGATGAAGCTACTGTGTTAGCGAAACATGTCGTGATATATTTTTCAAATAAAGTTTGTGTCATCCAGTGAGAGGCAGAAAACAACTACTTCTGGTGGTTGAGAAGGGGATGGATGGATGAGGATGTTTGGGGGAAAATAATCTATGACTACATCAGAATTTGATCTATGATTGCGTCAAAATTTTGAGGGTCATACCTCGCCGATTAAAATTAACCCAATAGGTATTTGACTGTTTTAGCGTTGACCATGCGATTGCCAGTTGAACATTATGTTAGTTTCAATCATTATAAAGATTTTATATATTTTTAAATTAAACGACGGGTTTTTACACCTACACCAATCCATACCTGCATAATATATGCATTCCACGATTATTTCAACACGTAACTTGCCGTGACACAGATACCAAAACACAGTTCTTATTACCCTGAATAAATCAATTTTTTTGAAATATTTTTGCAACTATGAAAATTGTGTCAAAGTCTCGAAGATATCAAACGCAAATTAATTCAAGAATCTCACATGATTATATTGTCGGATATTTATTTTTTTGCTACAACTGTTGTTTATTGAAATGAACGTTTTTTGAATAACAACAAACATTTTGAATTGTTCAAGTAACACTTTATTGTGAGGTTTTCACTGAACAGTTCACAAAATCGCAACACGCGTGTTTCACCATGCAAAACCTTCATCATACTGACTCAATTCTACTCAACCTGAGCTTCATATAATAACAATTTGAATCATTGGTAATAATTTATGTCATAGAAAACCATTTATTTGGACAGATGAGTATGAAGAGGCATTCAGAAGCCTTCAAAATTCAATGATATCACATGTTGGAAATATCGGTCAGGATTTTCGGTTACTGGTTCTGGGTGTGTAGAAGTTGTTCGAAGTTCAATTTAACTTTAATATATGATAATTACAAGAATATAATAAAATTAATTCAATTACGAAACGAAAACAATCTCTATGACATCTCTCAAAATATATGACATTGCTCTCCAAAACCTCTATATGGTGAGCCAAAATAATAAATAAATTACAACACACAACCTATTCTTCGTATACCAGATCTTAGACTGAATTATGAATTTTCCACTGATGCATCTTACTTTGGTTGTGGAACCACATTATATCAACGTGATCCTATAGAACCCAAAAACACGTCGAATAAGAGGCATCAGTTATTTTTCCTATACGTTTTCCAAAAGTGAGGTGAACTACTCAGTTACTGACAAGGAATGTATGGCAGTGGTGTAAGCAGTTTACTTTTTTCAGATCATATCTGGAGGAAAACAAATTTAAAATTCATACTGTCCATAGAGCCCTAACGTAACTTCTGTCATCAGGTCATTTAAGAGATCGTTTGGCTAGATGGCATATTTTTTGAGAACTTTTGAAATGGAAATAAATCATAAATCAGAAAAAGAAATAGAAGATGCAGATGCTATCTCAAGACTATGTATAGGGTCAAGTCTGGGACCGACCCTATGGTTGTTAGTGATGGAGCCATGGTTCGAGAGAATCAACAGTATGAAAATCAGACAAGGCATTGGAGCAGTAGGAGTACAAGTGCAGTCCTACGCGGATGACCAGCTTGTCATCATCGAGGGTAACTTTGTCGACAGCATAGAGGATAGATGGAAGTTGGTATGGGGTGAGTGCAAAGCAAGGGAGGAAGAGATGTGGTTGAAGTATAACGAGAGGAAAACAGAGTGCATGTTCATACTAACTGGTAAGGATGTAAGACTCCGGTACTGAGAATGCATGGAAGAGAGATAGAACAAAGAGCGAGTGTGAGATACCTCGGAATTGTGATGGACACAGGACTTCTGTTCATAGACCGCCACAATGAGGTAAGGAAAAAACTGAGTGAGCTGGCAGGGAAATTGAGGAGGTGGACCGGGAAGAATGTTGGACTGAAGAGAGAATGTGTAAGGATGATATAGGAAAGGGTAGCCAAACCTGCGGCACTGTATGGAATACAAGTCTGGGCGGAAAGGGCGCATGATAGTAGGGTGAAAATACAACTGAGTGCGGCACAGAGACCGTTTCTGTTAGCTTCATGTGGAGCATACAGAACGACGCCAACAGCGGCACTCAGTGTCATCACCGGAATGGCTCCACTTCAAATAGAAGGGTGGGCCAGATATCATAAATGGAGAATGAATGGGAGAAGGAAGATAGAAGACAGAGTGAAAGGTGAAGACAAAATTTTCCCCTGGTTGCAAGGGGAGTTGCTGCAGGAGGTGGAGGGAGAGGAAGTGAGTGAAGTATACGTGGACGCCGGGGCGATAGTGGAGGAAGAGAGAATGTGTATAGGATGGGCGTATAAAAAGAGAGGGGACGAATGGAACACAGATAACGAAAGAATCACCTGGCAAAGTAGCGTGAATGAAGCAGAGTCCATAGCGATAGAGCGGGTGATTGGCACGTGGAGTATGGAGGAGAATCTGAAGATAGTGTGTGACTCTGCTATGGCTGTAGAACGAGTGGAAGCAGGAAGAGTGGTGAATAGAAGGATAGCAAGGATACAGAGGATGATTGAGGAAAGGCATATGGAGGAGGGGACACGTAGCCGGCAAAATGGGAAACGTGAAGGCTTATGAAGAGGCCCATATGGGCTTGAACAAAGAACAAGTCACGCTACACGCGAGACAAATAAATAATAAATTGGATGAGAGAAAGCGCATAAAAGAAAGTATCAAGAGGGAATGGCAAAGGAAATGGGAGAGGGGTGCGACTGGGCAACTGTTCTACATATTCTGTTGAGCAGTCGGGAGTGAATCATCGGATCTCTCGCGAAAGGCGATCCAGCTTCTCATGGGGCATGGGAATTTTCCGGGATACCTGGCGCGATTTAACCTGGGCCCGGAGGTTCCTTGCCCGTGTGAGTATGGGGAGCCAGAAACGGCAGAGCATGTGCTTGATAGATGTATGATAGGGGACAGAATTGGATGGCGAGAGTGTAAGGAAACAACGTAGAGGGTAAATGGCGAAATGAGTCTAGGGGATGCAAACGGGAAGAAAAATGAATGGATACGATTTGCGAATTAATGGACAGACAGCGTGGTGAGGGATGAAAGGGAATGATTTGGGTAGGTTACCAGCGCACAGAAGATACGGGGAAAGGTCGTTTCTGTGGTACGTAACTGTTAACCTATTCAGGGCTGGACACGAGTCTGCGGAATTGTATGTAAATCCGGCATATGAGATCACATTGTGAAGAAAATTGGGAATATGGGTTGGAACAAAATTAGTTTCATTTGATTTGGATTGTGGCTGATTAGAAGAATTGTTTTATGTTTATTTATTTTTGATATATTTAAGTTACCATTATTGTAATTAGGAATGAGTTCAAATTGTTAAGAATGTAAAGAATTATTTTGTAAAACTGTATTTGGGAAATAAAGAGATGGGTCTTCTAGGGCAACCATGGCAAAGACATTATTCATGTCCATAGAGCCCTAACGTAACTTCTGACATCAGGCTATTTAAGAGATCGTTTGGCTGGATGGCAGATTTTTTTGAGCACTTTCGAAATGGAAATAAATCATAAATCAGAAAAAGAAATAGAAGATGCAGATGCTATCTGCAGACTATGTATAGATGTTTCAGAGGAAGTTCCAGAAATATTTTGGTTTAATCTCTCTATTCACGATTTGGAGAAAATGAAAAATGAGAAATATTTAGTAAAAAGTGATAATATGAAAAAAGAAATCTTAACGCTTCATGATGATGACCCTGAATCAGGAGGACACGATGGTTACTATAAAACGTATCATAAAATTAGCAAAATATTTCTTTGGAAAGGTATGAGTAAAGATATAAAGTATTACATTGAAACTTGTGAAACTTGCCAACACGTTAAATTCAAATATCTGCCAAAAGCAAATTGTGTTCACTTATCAAAAATTTCTAACAATAACTTTGAAACCACACACATTGATTTTGCAAAGTTGAGTAAAAAATCCTAAACAAATAGAACAACAAACTCATTCGTCATTTTAATCGACAAGGCAACAAGATTTGTTAATGGTAAGGCTCTGAAACAAAGTGGTCAAGCTTAGAAAAACTATTTCATGAGTCTTCTTTCAGAGATAAGGTGAAAAATATCATGACAGTTTGTGGCTCATCCTTTACCTTTGGAATATTCCAAGAATGGGCTGAGGCTGCAGGAATCAATTTGATTCATACAACTCCCCATCATCCTGGAGGAAATGGTTTAGCAGAAAGAACAATTAGAGATATCAAAATATTTATGAAATGTTATCCGAATCACAGAGGAGGTTGGAAAAATAATTTAGAAGCTGCAATTCGTCATCATAATTATTCGCATAATGAATGTGTAGGATCCTTGCCAAATTTCAAACTATATGGCAAAGGAACGAAACTGCAAGCTGATGGAAAATTATGTTTAGGAATAGAAATAAGTGAATCAACAAAATCGTCCGAAGAACAAATTAAATGCAAAATAAGGGTTCGAGCTAATAAAGGATGAAAATTACGACCACCAGCAGGATTCTGATAAGGAATCAACATATTGGAAAATAATTTGTAACAAAAGGACCATTTGATTTGATTCAGTTCAGATGATTCAAATACCGAAACAGTTCGTATATCAAACATTCGACGATTTCATCACAGGAGTGATGATTTCTTGAGATGGGGGATCTGTAGTAGAATGACCATCTGGTGATATTGATTCTATCCCCTATATATGGTATTTTGAGATATCCTAGGAGATGGTTGTTGATAAAGTAGAGAAGAGTAGCATACCTGTATAAAAAAAGTAGGAAATATAGTTACTTATTATCTTTACGATTCATAATATTACTTGAGTTTAGGTAAAAACTAATTGAAGGTTTAGTTTAGAATATCATGAGCGACAATTATTCCAACTCATCAAATGGACATGGACCTGTGTTCAGGTGAAAACTGATTGAAAATTTAGATGAACATATAATGAATCAACAACCAATTTCCGTATTGAAAAACATATTTAGAAGAGGAGAATAGTTCAACTCTATTCGGTTATTTAGTGAATTATCAGAATTCTTAAATCGATTAATCTCTAAGCACTCCAAAATATTGAGTTTTAAGCCTTTCTCTTCCAAATGTGATGATTTATATGTTTTTTCATCCTTCAGAAAAAGATTCTTCCCATTTGGCCAATTTGAGGTTACCAATATACTCCTGATCTATCTCTGAAGATTTGTCTTTATTTTTTAAATAAATTGACTTTCCACCACATACATTTTAGATTGGGAAGTCTATCCAAGTTTTGAAGTAGTTGTTAGGAATTATATTGAAAGTACCTCAATTTTGCGATGATTATGGTTTCATTCCACATTTTAGTAATAAAAATGGGAAAAAACGTGTTGCCTTCTCCATATCAAAGCTCAGTAAAAATCTGAAATTAACATCATATGCACGAATAACTCCAGTGAGGAATCCTGCACTGACACCTGTCGGATATGATCCAACGCCCTTCGTGGTATTAGCCAGGGAAGTAGTTGTTTCCTGATAAGTGTCAGTCCATTAACCTACTGTGTAGGTAAGGAAAGACTGGCCTGAACGAATTGTTACTTTAGATAATTTGATAAAATATGAAAAAAAATATTATCAAAAAAATAATTAATTCAATATGTTGGCAATCGAAGAGATATACGAAGTACCAGACTGAAAGACAGTAAATATTCCAGACGGTTGGACATTGTTGATAAATCTCCACATATACTCTAATACTCGGTTTTCTCGGTATATTATTTAGATCTCCAAGATATTTGTGTTGGATTCCGTGGTTATTTTTCAATTTGACACTGGATGTCTAAATATTACCGGAGTATTTTCCCAACACTAAATCGTTCCTTAATCTCAACACGTGTTTTGATCATCAAGTGATCATCCTCAAGAGGAAGGTCGAACTTTGATCTTCCTCAAAGTTTGATCTTCCTCTTGCAGATGATCACTTGGTGATCGAAACACGTGTCGAAGTGTTGAAATAACGGTTTGATATTGGGAAAAAACTCCAGAAATATTCATTACTACACCAGAGGTTTCAAACGGTGCATCACAAATACTAGAGGTCTAGTTAGTTGAGATACAGTCCACTTGGCACTTCATTTTTAGGAATAGATGTAAAATAATTATATCCTAGATAACGTAAAATTCTTACCTGTTTGTCGAATATTTTTGCAGACTCAATTATCACAATGATCAAGTTTCCGAATGCAGTCGTCAGGAGCCAGCAGGCTTGCATCAAGGATTTCATAGAACTTGGTGCTTGCGAGTATGAAAATTCCAAGCCGGTGATGGAAAACATAATTTCAGCACCAGTGATGATGAAATATTGAGGAAGTAGCCACAGCATGTGAACACTATTAGGTTCGGTAACGGTGATTACCTTCGAACGATTCTGTAAAGATGATCAGTATTAAAAATATAGCTCTCGTTGATTTGTTACGGTCGAACTCTTAGTTGTTAGTCTAAGTCCTACGAGATGTGTTGCATAAACCCGCTATAAGAGAACTCGAAAACGAGTTGGGTAAGATCAACGAACTGGTCAAGGAAGATATGTACAAAACATTGAATGCACAGGAGAACTCAACCAACGTTATGGTCAGCCAAAAAGTTCGACTTGAGTATAACGATCAATAGTTTCAACGGTATCAGAAAGACCATCGCAAGGTCAATTCCTACAGTCTCTGATGTTTGAGATGGTCATCGTGTGCTACATATATTTTTGATCGACCATTATATGAAGCTTCTAAAAATATGGCGTACCGATATTTGCAAAATTCTATCTTTATTCTACACAGAATATGATCAACACTCATGTAAATTTGTGTGAGGCAATGTTGAAAAAATTCAAAATGAGAAATGCCAAATCCGCAGACAACATTGTGTCGGTGTCTGTGTCCAGATTAAACAGATTAATCTGTCTCTTGAAGATGATCACTTGGTGATCGAAACACGTGTCTAGGTGTTGAAATAACGGTTTGGTGTTGGGAAAAAAATCCAGTAATAAACACTGAGGTAGGTGATAGAACGAAGATATAATTATGTGAAATGTAGACTAAGAAACAATCCGCTGTTTCGGTATTTTGAGATGAACCCAATTCCAGTCATGAAAATTCATTTATTTGATTGCGAAATGATTGCAGTGAATGAGGATTTGTTAGTTAGGCTTGCTATCTATTACTGAACGTTATATTGATCGTTATCCTATAGTCCTAAATCCCGTAGTCGACAAACTAATAATAAATAGATTGATTAATATGTAGTTACGAATGTGTGCATGTGCAAACATGTGAGCCTGAAAATAGGGTACCAGGGTTGATCCAAATGTTCAACAAAAAATGATTTTTCGGTGTAACTTAATATTTATGGTCATTGGATCTCATAACTTCTGAAAATGAAGTTATTTTCCCTAATGAATGTCATAAGTTCGGACTTCCATTATCTGATATTATATAAAATGATTTGAAATCCCTGCAAGAACTAATAAAAAATCCGTAGCAGCCTAACGAAAACCAGGCTACCAAACGCGGACTGCGATTCCAAGAATTGTATTTACCGGATACCTGTGAGTGCGGAAAATCCTATATTGGTGAAACTAAGAGGCCATTGAATGTTCACATTGCCGAGAAGAAACACACACAGCGAGGGGAAACCAACACATCAGGAATAGCAGAGCATGTTTGGACCCATCAACGTAACATCTGAGATCATACACAGAGAGGAACATTGATTTAGGAAAAAATTCAAAGAAGTGGCATACATGTTGTCCAACAATGTATTCAGTCAAGCTGGCGTAGAGATATGCAACATATGGAAAACCATAATCAAGCGAATCACTGAACCGGTGAAGCAGAAAAGAATGAAAGCGAAGATAAGTGAAAGTACTCGAATGACCTATAAATAGTCATCTCTCAGAGGAATTAGTCTAGTTATCACTTGAAGACGATTGTGGATACTAACAATCAAAACGTCGTGAAGTAACTTGACTTGTAACCAGTTTCGCAGACATCTTCAAAGATGTGCGTGCATTTAGTACACTGCTTCAGTTTAACAACTGCACTTCTATACATCGTTGATGATATAGTAAAAGGTACCATTGAATATTTTTGTACCATTTTAGGTCGACTTCATTTCAGTGGAGATTTTGATACCTTGAATCACATTGAAGCTTCTCATTGCTCTTTTGGGATAGATATATAAGACATTCAGAAAATCTTTGTATGCCCTTAAAAAATGTTTGATGAGGGAAAAGTTGAAGTGTACATTCATATGTAAATATTGTATCACTTATATTTTCACAGGAGCCAATCTTTGAACCAGTGTTATGTTCATTCATATGCTGTTGATACCTTGCTCTATCCACCTTTGCCACTTGAAGGAGTAGAAAATACTTATAATATTTCAAACAGTGAACTAGGTTAGATTAGGTGAAAAGTGAGAGGGTCTATTCGATCCTCCACTGCAACCCGCAAGGGTTGATTGCGGCTCACACCTATACACACTCGACCAAATGAACCCAAACCCAACGACATCGTAGTTCATCCCTACTGTAAACCAATGACTGTTTTGTATCAAGCTTCGAAGGGTGAATAAACGTCTTGGAGTGAGCCAATCCTGGAAGATTCTATCAGAAGTCCATGAATCTTCTTGGCATGCAGGTGTTCAATCTTTGTTTGGCAAAGCCTCAAGCGATGCCAATGGCATATTCTGGTCCAATGAAGCTTCTTGCAGCACCCTCCTTTGCAAGGGAGTCAGCAGCCTCATTGCCTTTTTGGCTAATATGGCCAGGAATCCAGACCAGAGACAATCTGTTAAGTCTTCCTATTGAGGAGAGTTGTTTTTGACAATTTGCTACCAATTTAGACGTTGATCGGTAGGAGCCGAAAGCTTTCAAAGCCGTTTGACTGTCCGATAATATTCTTACTGACTTGTGTATGAGGTTGGATTCTTCTAATCTCTCCGCACACAATTCAATAGCGTAAATTTCCTCTTGAAATACAGTCGTATTAGTAATCTTGATATAACTAGTTTTCTCAAATTATATGAACAGATTTTTGATAATATGATTAATTTCGTTATACTTATAGTATCATTGATAACTCACCTTACTCTCGGAAAACCATCCTCGCTTTTCGCAATCTCATCCAGATAGCAATGAATTGCATCTTTTCCAAAATAAATACCATATGAATTTCCTCCTTCTACATTTTCTTTGGATTCCTTGTGAATCGTTTCTCCGTTTAAACAGTTCAGAGTTAATTGGAATGTTAAACTCGTATTTCCCATGAGATCAATATCCTTCTTCTCGTAATAATCCATACTTTCCATTGGAGGAGACTCCAAGTTGAGTTCTTTCACATAAAAAGATGCACTGCATGGGGAAGGATTATATATTCGAAGCTGAATATTTCCTGCAGATGGCAATACCGGGTCAGTATTTTCCAAGGCAATGGACACCAAAGCAGAAACTGCAAAAGCCACAGCTGCTAACAATCCTCCTGCAGCCATTCTTTGGAGTGGAGTCTTCAACAAGTTGCACTTCGACAGGAGGGGATAAACCCAGTAAGAGAAAATTGGAATGAAGGCTAGAATGAGCAAAGGATTCACTACTTGAAACTGATCTGGAAGGATAGTGTAAAACCCAATGTCACCATCCATTCGAACCGCTTGGAAAGTCCAGCCGGATCCCTGTTGGTCATATAGTGCCCAAAATATGGGTAGAGGAATGTAAAGTACCAGAACGTTAAGAGTGGATTTGATGTCTGTGACCAATTGGACGCCATATTTGTCTTCTGCGAAATCCAGCCAGTGCTCCTTCTTCTCTTTGGACTTGATTTTTTTCCCGATTGCGTACTGAAAAAGAAATATTTGGATTTACTTCTTCTATCTATCGAAACACTTTTCCGAGTACGCTACTTCTTACAAGCTAAGTTAATATTTTAAAATGTATTTGGACCAATCATTACCTTGCATAATGAGGGTCATAAAATTGATTCTCAGTATTTTGTTATCTAATGCTACCTGATAACCCGTTGTCTATTTTTATTGCTCATCAGTTCATGAAAAAATTCGAAATTGAACCTAGACAATAGGATCATTTTTTATGAATTTGGTTTCAATACGTGGATGATGTATTTACCAACAGTTATTTTCACAGTTTCAAATTCTCACACTGCCTTTACTTTATATAACGCAAATTAATGTAAATATAAAAAAAAACAAGAGGCTTAAATGTTATCAAATAGTTGTATTCACAAATATTCAACTAGAAAGCGTGAAAATATACGTCAACCTTTCTACAGATAACGATTGGGCAAAACTGTTATATTTATCACGATATAAGGTGTTTTATTCGTTTTAAGGAACTGTTTGGTTCAACTCACGAATTGACAAATCTAAACTGCTTCAGGAACGCTCTTCACAAATACTTGGAAGGAAACGTATTTTATTCTTTAGATAAATTTTTGATGTAAGTGTAGGTGCATTATTATACAGTGTGTAACAACGAAAACTTAACAGAGCCGTTTTTGAATATAAAAAGTAAGATTTTTAAAAAAAGCTCGGACACGTCGATTTCTAATTGAAGGGGGACACCCTTCAGACTAATCAGATTTTTTTTAGTACGCACCCCCTCGGAGGGGTGCGTCCGACGACCCTTATTTAGATAGGGAAAGTAGGTCGAGTGGCACCTTGTTTTAAAGGTCTTTCGAATACCTTTACAACTCTGTTAAAAGAACATTTTTGTAACGATTAGTTTTCGAGATAACTTGAAGTTAAAATTGCCATGTTAAAAATCATTCGACAGACCACTCGGTAACTTGTATGCCTAAATAAAAAATTTTTCGAGCAGTTCTTCTTATCAGTTTTTTGTTAAATAAAATCCCTTTTTTAAAATCAATACCCACTCCTCTTCTTCCAGTTTTCATTACTACTTCGTTCGATTGTTCTGTTTAAACGGGTCGTGTATTGTTATTTGATTAAAAATGCCTTACACTAATGCTTAAAGGGTTTCAGTTATTGCTTTATTTTTTGGCAAAAACCAAAATGCTAATAGAACATCAATTTTATTTAACGAGCAAAACTCTGGTAAACACCTAAGCAGAAATCACGTTCTGGATTTGGTCACAAAATTCAGGGAGACAGGTTCGGTTTTAAATAAGAAAAAAAATGTTCAGAGAAGGGTAGTGAATGACGACAATGCGATTGGAGCGATTGGTCAAGTCATCGCCAATCCCAGGTTAAGTACCAGAGGTTTATCAGCAATGGCCGGAATAATCCATATGAGCGCATGGAGAATCCTTAAAAACCACAAATTCCATCCTTACAAAATTAAACTTGTTCATGAACTCAATGAGGATGATTTTGACCGAAGACAGGAGTTGTGAGGGCATGAGTGAGAGAAAAATGCAAAATCCCGAGCTGCTTTATAACATCCGTTTTCCGGACGAAAGTTCATTTCATTTAAATGGTTGCGTGAACCATCACAATTGCCGTTATTGGTCGGATGAAAACCCAAGACAATACGCAGAAATACATACCCAACATCTCCAAAAGTTGAATGTCTGGGCCGGAATATTAGGCAATCATATTATAGGTCCATTTTTCATTGATGGAAATTCAACCGGTGATTCTTATTTACAACTTCTTGAAGAGGCAATACAAACTCGTATAGTTGAAATAATTGAACAGGATCCAAGATGAATTCATCTATTTTTAACAAGACGGTGCACCACCCCATTATGCCCAGCAGGTTCGAAATTTTTTGAATAATCATTTTGAAATACAATGGACTGGCAGAAGAGGTCCAATTGAATGGCCAACACGATCACCAGATTTAACACCACTGGACTACTTTTTGTGGGGATATTCAAAGTCTAAAGTTTATGCTACACAGTCCGCCAATTTGGATGAATTACGTCGTAGAATTATTGATGAATGCCGAGCTATAACTCCTGAGATGTTGAATAATGTAAGAGCAAAATTCGAACAAAATCTTCATTGTTGCATGGAGCAAAATGGCGCACATTTTGAACATTTACTGTAAATTTCTTATGTGAGTTACCCTTATTAGGTGTTACTTTTTTTGTGTGTGCTTTAAAAACAATTATTGGGGTTTTTTAACACTAAAACAGTTTTTTAAACTTTTCTGTGTCATCATCAGTCAAGGAAATCAGCAGGTTGTATTCGTTGTGTAGGTAAGTTTTTAGTATGATTCACTTTTTTATCAGAAGCATAAAATATCCACGTCAAAAGGCAACCTTTATAAGGAGGTGCTACTCAATTTACCTAAAATGTAAGGGTGGTAACCAACCCCATCCCCCGAAAAAATCTCCTCGTAATAAACGAATAATTCTTACTTTTTTACGAAATCAAATGGACACGTATTAGCAGGTTGTCTTTTCTGGTATTTCCATGTCATGATTTCACATGAAATCAACAATATCTGCTTTTTTGTGTTATTGTTTGGTATTGTAGTCAATAACCGAGTTTGGAGGAATATTTGGGAGAAGCTGCTCACTGAACCAGGTTTCGAATAAAGCCGCAGTCATATCTTCGTGGTAATCAGCAGACGAATCTTTTACATTTTTGGCCGACAGAAGCAAAGCGTTAGGTACATAACCACTTTCATTCCCGGCATGCAAAATTATAACACGTTTTCCCCTTGAAGAAGGTGTGTTCAAAGCACAATACTTGGTTTCGTCTATCCAGCCATATTTGACAACATCATGGGTGTCAAACCAAGTTTCGTCGAGGTAGTGGTTCCACTAGTTAATTACTGAACAATCAATTAGGATAATCATCATTTAACAGACAAAGTCCACATCGGACCAAAAGTTTTAGGTATATAAACAGCTAACCCTTGTCTTTAGATTCAGTATCAATTTGCTTCTCCTGAAGATGCTGACCTTGTTAGCGAAAAGCGCGTCGAGTGCAAACATATCAGTTTGGTGCTAGGGTAATTGATCTCTAGAAAAAGTTTTCAAAAATCGGTTTGCAAAACCACACCTCACCTAACCCCACGAACACACGGCACTGATAAAGAAATATTGTGAAACGGACAAAAAATTAGTATTCAGCCAGTCCAGCTAGCCGAGCCTTTATTCCTCAACTAGATTTGATAGCACGTTTACTAACTATCTGGGCGACAAGAAATGTTTATGACTGTACTCTTATTTTTCTTACCGTTCCCATTGGGAATGGATAGACTATACTGCTTAAAATCACTGCGTAAATAAGCCATGATTTCTCGTAAAAAGTAAAGGATAAAGAATGGTTATTATGGGTTGTCTCGCGGATTGCCACCATTGTCTACAACAAAAATGCCGGAACTACATTTTTTGTCTGTAGGCTGGTGGCGTTGTCTTCGAGCGAAAAAATATATGATTCGATGAAAAAGTTATCAAGAAGATAGTTGAAAGTAACGGGTATCCTTCAAACATAGTAAATGATACAATTAGGAAGTTATGAATACACTTGATGAATACACTTGATGAAATAATTAAACTATCCACGATAAAAATGATACAGGATCCACAACTGATTTTATTTTAGACGCTTTTCGCTACATGATAGCTTTATCAGTTGGACTGATGGACAGTAGCTGACCAAAAGCAAAACAAAATAAAAACCGATGACGAGAATTAGGTACTTGACTCTCAATTTCCTTTAAGATTTGAGGTCAGCTCGCACGCCACCGAGGGGTTGAACATAAAATCTCGAAACTAATTTCTAACAAAATTATTTGAAGATTTGATACTCACTGTTATGCATTTGGTAACATCCACTATAACATTTCCTCCTGGCTTCTTAACTTTGTACAGAGGTTTTCCAAGACCAAAGAGGACTGAAATCAATTAATCGATTAGCATAAAATCAATTAGAATAAAATCAGTTAGATCTTATATAAAATCTCCCCTTGTAATTGTCCATTTTTTAAATTCAATTATAAATCATTACTTGGCGATTGTACTTAGTGATGTCAGTGAGCAGATAGTTGTTGGTTCACAGATGGATCAAAAACACCTTTCCGGTTTTGGTGCAGGTGTTTTCAGTCGCAGACCCAGGACAGAGATATCAACCTGCCTAGGAACCTATGCGACTGTATTTCAAGCGGAAATTTACGCTATTGAATTGTGTGCGGAGATATTGGAAGAATCCAACCACATACAAAAGTCAATAAAAATATTCTCGGACAGTTAAGCGGCGTTGAAAGCTCTTGGCTCCTACCGAGCAACGTCTAAATCGGTAGCAAATTGCCAAAAACTACTCTCCTCGATAGGAAGACAACAGATTATCTCTGGTCTGGGTTCATGGCCATACTGGCCTGGAAGGCAATGAGGTTGCCCACTCTCTCGCAAAGGAGAATGCTGCAAACAGCTTCATCGAACCGGAACCTGTCATTGTCATCGCTTTAGGCTTTGCCAAACGAAGATTGAACACCTGGATGGCAAGAATATTTATGGACTTCTGGGTGAGTTTTCCAGGATTGGCTCACTGTAAGGCGTTTATTCACTCTTCGAAGCTTGATACCAAACAGTTGTTGGACTACAGTAGTAGGGATGAACTACGCTGTCTAACAGGCCTTCTTACAGGTCACAGTCATTTGAATCATCGTATGCAGAGACTCAGACTGTCGGAAGACAGTGTGTGTCGCCTCTGTTTGGAAAATGATGAAACAGCAAAGCACATATTTTGTGCCTGACCCGCTGGGGACCGAATCAGGTTTTTAGAGTTTGGCAGAGCCGTAATCTTACCATATGACCTGAAAAACCACTCACTATACGAACTAATCGGCTTCGTTGAGAAGCTGGATTTATTTGGTCGAGTGTGAATAGGTGTGAGCCACAATAAACCCTTGAGGTTTGTGGTGAAGGGTCGAATAGACCCACTTACTTTGGACCTAGCCTTACCTAGTGATGTCTTGGCTTTTGATGCCTGGAGACAACTCGTCAGATTTGTTAGATAAAAATCTTCAGAACATCTCCGAGAAAAATCGTCTGTCTGCGCAACATATGAAATATACCACTAGTACCAGTACTTCTGATGAATTGTATGTCGATTTTTATGAAAAAGATGATTAGTTCTAAAGAATGAAAAGAATTTAATTCCATGATTATTAAGGACCTACACATAATACAATTTGTTGAACTTCCGATAGTAATAGTTCATTTTAAAACTTTTGTCCGTTTTCATAGGTCTATTTCAAACTGTTATATATCAGTGAATACTTATTCAATTTATTCGAAATAAGTATCATTTGAATCAGTTCATTTTTGCCAACGTAACACAAGTCGAATAATTTCGTCTGTATAAAAATTGCGTACTCGGGATTTGATGAAGTCGATGGAAGCAGTTTTTGCCTGGCCCTGATTGGCGAAGGTTCTGCCGGTGAGAAAGGTATCGAAGTGCTTGCAAAGATGGTAGTCGGTTGGCGAGAGGTCTTGATGAGGCAGAACTTCGACGCTCAACTTTCCTCAATTTCCGGTATATTTCCGCTCAATTTTCGGTATATTTCGTCAATTTCCTCACAATATGACTCTGCTGTGATGGTTTGGCCCGGTTGCAGGATGTTATAGTGAACCACACCAGCCGCTGACCACCATACAGAAACCATGGTCTTTTTTTTTGGTGATTTTTCACTTTTGGAGTGTTCTTGCGTGGCTCATCGGTGTCCAATTACTATCCTGAACGTCTCTTGTTATCGTAGAAGATCCATTTTGCATTACACGTGACGATTCCATCCAAAAAAGTATTGTTTTGGTTGCACAAAAGCAAAGAAGAACATACCTCGAAACGAAACAATTTCTGTCGATCGTTCAAATCGTGGGGCACCCACTTTTCTAGCTTTTTGACCTTTCCAATACGTTTCAAACCATCAAAAACCGCAAGGGAGCTGACGCGCAGTTTTTCCGTCATTAGTCAGTCTTCACCAGGGTCCTCAAATCTTCGTCCTGGATTACTGAAGGTCGACCACTTCGGAGCTCATCTTCGAGGCTAAGATCTCCGGAACAAAATTTCGCAAGCCGAAAAGTGCGTTCAATATTACTATCATTGATTCAATCCATTCATTACTACCATTGCCAAATACCTCGATAATTTTTCGGGCTGTTTCTGTAGCACTTTGGTTCAATTTGAATTCGTGGAGTAAATTGTCCAAAAATCATTCAACGACATCAATCAAGGTGAAAAAAGGCAAAAACTTAAAATTTGGAAAAAATTAACAGTGCCAAAAGAACAACATTAACTGAATAGTTCAAAATTCTCTGTCGATCAGTATATAGTTGAAAACATATTTGAAGTCTTCTGGATAGATTATATATTCATGTTATGCCTTGCTCATATGCTTTTTCCTTTGTCTCACTTTTGTGTATGTTTTGCTATATATTTTACCTTATTTAAGCTAAATAGATTTTTAATATTCACTTCGAAATTTATAACCTTTATTTTTTTCTTACTTTCACAAAGATTCATGAACTACTCACTTACCAATGTATTTATGTGACAGATATAGATCAGAATATCAACTCAGGCAAGTACACTGCATATGCAGATGATTTTTCACTGACAATATCAGCTCCTACAACATCGGAAATAGAAAAGGTGGGCATTGATGTAATGAAAAAAAATACTAACTATTTCAATGAAAACGACTTGTATTTGAATGTTGATAAGACAACGTTATATAGATTTCATAACAAACAGAAAGCATGTAACACAATAGGTGTGCTGAGGTGTTTATAGCACAAAAAAAAATTGTTCGCTGCATGGCAGGAGTGTCTAGCTCTCATTCATGTAGAAAATGGTTTCCAAACTCAGGTATATTAACAACACCATGTGTTTATATAAATAAAGCATGTTTGTATGTTTTCCGAAACAAAAATAAATTCACACATAATGATAACTTGCACAATTATCATACGAGGAACGAAAAAGATATACATTCTCAGACGGCCCGTTTGAAGCTGAGTAATCAATCTTCAAATAGCATGGGAGCTAGATTATTCAATAACCTTCCACCTCAAATAAAAGGAAAGGACATGTTTTTTAAATATTATTGAACTGAATTGAATGAATGTATGTAATCGTTATAAATTGTTGAATTTTTCAAGTAGGTTTATGTATTATGTATTTTTATATATTTTTATTGGTTTGGTGCTATGACAACTTTCAATGTAATTTTTACGATTGTCAATTGGACCCCGTTATGCAATAAGGAACCAACTGACATTTTTAGGTAAAATGAGATATGCCGTGTTTTAGAACTCAAATATCGTTCTTAAGGTTTTGCAATAGAGAACCAACTGTTAGGAGTGTATCGGCACCTGTAGTTCTATTGTCTGAACCAACTGAAAATTGTAAGAAGTCCTTATCACATTTTTCAATACAGAACCAGGTAAACTTGGTACCTTGTTGCGGAATACTGAACAGAACTATTGTGTCGAAATGGATCCAACGTTGCTTGGAACTCTTTTGCATAATACAATTGTCAGATTTCATCGAAATCATTTTGTTGTTTGTTGACAACTAGTGACGGAGAATATTCGTTTTTCAATTAAAATGTCCTCCCAAAGAACAATATTCATGGCAGAGAGAGGAAAAGCATTAGCTATTTCGCCAGAGGATAATACACATACGGTAATACATACTAAAATGATGTTTATATAATTTTATATTATTCTAACCTCAAATTTAAAAAAAACTTTGCTACAACTTGGCTTATTTCCGAGCCTTTTACTGTTAACCTGTGAAGAAAACGAGAGTTGCATGTTATTTAATATTATTCTTGAGTTCCGTTACGTATCAGATACCTATTATTAAGTCTATTTTTTTGTGACACAGTTCGTTCCTTACTGAAATGTTCTGTTCTTATAGATCTCAGAACAAGATGTAACGAATGACAATAATGAGTATATAACTACTCATATTGAGACTACGACTGAAACTACTGGAAAAAAGCCTATTGAAAAATGTCCTAGTGTAGAAACGGCAGAATCTTTTCAGACATGTAAAAGTATTGAAAGTTCAAGTGAACATTTTGAAAATAACGATTTCCAGGAATTTGAAGATGTTGAGAATTTTTTCATGGACACAAATTCTGAACCTGTTACTGATGTGAAAAATAAAACAGATTATAAACAGGTAAGCCCTACTACTATTGAACGTTTAAATAGTAATATTGAAGGAAATTCTTCACAAGAGTTTGAAGATTCCGATGATTCTGTGAAGGACAGAGATTATGAGCCTCATTCAAGTGATGCATCCTCGGATGCTGATTTTAATATGCAACAGAACAATATCATACGCTCATCAGAAATGACAGAAAATATTGATAATAATATCACCCTTGACCGTAAAGGCCGTTCGAAAAAAGAAGGAAAAGGAAATATGAACAACAAAATAGAAACCAGAGGAAGATACGTAAAAACAATAATCAGCAATATTATTCAGCTGAAGGAAAATTAGTGGAACCGAAAGAGTTTGTTGACTGGTTTTGTTCATGTGTGATTAAGTGTCATGAGAGAATTTCTGTTGAAGAAAGAAGAAAGTTTTATGAACACTATTGGCATTTAGGGAACTATAATGTTCAGACTTCATTCTTATGTGCATACGTAAAAGAAGCAAAATCAATGAGGAAAAATACAGCGGCAAAAAATCCAGAGTATATTCGATCAATAAAGTCGTAACCTGTAGAGAAATGTTCATCAAAACGCTGGGGATTTCTACCAAGCGTGTTAATACTGCACTGCGTAAAGTAAGAACATTAGGAACACACTTGATCGACGAGGTATATCTGGAGGTCACAACAAAATGTCAATGTACCACAAAAATGGCGTTATTAGTCATATCAGTAAGTTTCCTAGATATATATCTCATTACTGCAGGGAAAAAAAAGACAAACAAGAGTTTTTGGCTGCAGGAACAACACTTACACAAATGTATAGACTTTATAAAAATGAAAATACGAACACAGTGAGCTTTGCTTCATATAAAAAAATTTTTAAGCAAATTCAATTCAAAATTGAAGAAACCAAAAAAAGATACTTGTAACAAGTGCGACGCATATGACGCCAAAATTAAAAATTCATCCGAAGGAGATGAGAAAAAGATAGTTAGTTTAGAGCACAATATGCATCTAGAAGAAGCAGAACAAGCTAGGAACGCGATGAACATTGACCTTCAAAATGCAAGTGAAAACGACGCCACAGAAACATTGACTTATGGCATGGAAAAAACCCTTCCTTTACCGCGGCTAACTACTAACATAATATTTCATAAAATACAGTTGTGGCTCTACAACTGCGGGATTCATGGGGGAAAGGAATCAAAGTCAGTTTTCAACTTGTGGCTGGAAGGACAGGCAGGTCGTGGGTCACAAGAAGTTGGTTCTTGTTTGATGCTTTACATTGAGAACAATATTGCGAAAACAGTGAAAAATCTTATATTGTGGAGTGATTCATGCGGCGGCCAAAACCGTAACATAAAAATGGTTCTAATGCTGAAATGCATACTCGAACGTTCCACACATTTAGAAACCATCAGATTGCGTTTTTTAGTTTCGGGGCATAGTTTCTTGCCAAACGATAGCGATTTTGGCGACGTAGAATGTGCCCTCAAGAAACTACCCAAATTATTCTCTCCCCAAGACTCCGTGGAGGTAATGGAAACCTGCCGAAAAAAAAATCCAATCAAAGTAATTTCTATGAAGAGTGAAGACTTTGCAAGCACGGAAATACTGGAAAAGCAAGTAACAAATAGAAAAATAAGATTAACTGGCTGAAAATGAAAGAAATAAATATTTCGAAAGAAAAACCCTACAGTATATTTACAAAAACGAAATACGATGATGGCGATGAGATACAGAGATCAATATCAAAGAAGGAAAAAGAAGGCAACCAGGAACATTATTTTCTAGACATCTGACTCCGCTATGGCCCAATGGTAAACCAGTAGCAGAAGCGAAACTTCAAAACATCAAAAGGTATTTGCATTTGATTCCTTCTGCGAACCATCCGTTTTATCTCAACCTTATAGGCGATAAAACAATCGAGGAAGACGTAGAAGGTTACAATACAAACTTGGATTTTCAAGTGGAAGACGAATGAATTTTTAAAATTAATTTTTGCAAAAAAGACCCAAGTGATTTTTTTTTACGTTCTTCTTGGAGTTTGTATTCAATTTGTTTAGAGCATGTTTCCTAAGGTTATAATTCAATAATACAATACAATATTATTTTCAATAATCACTAGACTACTTTCTTCTAATTTTACTCCAAATTTATGTTCTTGTCAGTTGGTTCCTTATTGCATAACAGGGTCCAATTAAGAAAGAACAAAGGAAAAAAAATAGAATTTGAAAGTAAGTCTTCAAAATGAGTGGTCAACTTCAATATTTTTTTCGATTACAAGATATATTAATTGAAAAATTTATGGTCATTCATGTAATGCAATTATTTAATTGAATTGAACTGATTATTTAACTGAATATTCAACTGAATTGTGGATTATTGTTTTCAATGCATGAAATGGATATCATTGATTTTTTTATTTGAGTTTTTATTTGAAGTTCAGAATTCAACTTTCTAGGTTACAGAACTTTCTATAAATATTTTGAAATATTGAATGGTGTATCATTTCCAGTTTCCACTTAGAAAATAATGTAACTATTGACTTGTTTCGAAGACACACTTGAGACAACCATCTTGCTTCAAATGTAACCAACATTTAGTTTAGAAAGTGGATATTTTTAGAACATATCTTAATTTTTTCTCACAGCGGGATGAAAAGTTCGTTTTCCGTCGCCTATATGCGGGACAAAAATGCCTCGTTCTCTCCCGTTAGTTAAAACTAACGCCCATACTCATAACTTACTTTTCCTCTCGGTAACCTAGCGACGAATTGTTTATCAAGCTATCAAGCTTGAAATACATGACGACAATAAACATTTTTATCTGTGATTGAAAAATGCTAAATCAACGAAAGGATCGAACTTTTTATCCCGCAGTGACAAAAAATCGTATACGCACCACGGGTGCCGTACGGCAGAATGTCCTACTTTTCTCCCTAGGTGAGTAATATACTAATTCTGCGCCCCTATCTTTGATATCTTCAGAGTCTATCAGACTTTTGAACCCACTGTTGAAATTCGTAAACAAATATTCATACAGAGATCAAAACGTGTCTGAAGACTGTATCGAGGAGAGACACATATAAGACACGTATAAGGAAATAAATGTTATGAAATAAAATTTCGAAAAATTCATCTCTCCCAACCACCTTCACATTAGGTTCTGATAAATGCCTGTCCATATGGTGAGCGAAAGATCGCTCACCATATGGACTATATAATCAGCTTTGTTAAGAAGCTGGGTTTATTTGGTTGAGTGTGAAATAGGTTTGAGCCACAATAAACTCTCGCGGGTGGCGGTGGCGAGTCAAATAGACTTACTTACTTTGGACCTAACTTAACCTAAGCTATCTGTCGGAAATAATTCAATATCCAGCGTAGTAGTAGCCGTAGAAGTAGTTGTTTTTCAGCAAGTATTTACTAGAACCCACTCTGTAGGTAGTTGATATGTTACGGAATTTCATTTGTATATATTCATTTTCTTATGAATATTTATAAAATTTCACAGCTTATCATATAGTTAATTATGCTCACCAACTTACCTATTGACACTACCATCAAAACTCCGGGTAATGCGAAGGCAAGTGAAAAACAGCTATTTTCGCCGAAACAGTGGACGTTTTGCCTCAAAATCGGAGTCACAGAAGTAGAGATCAAACTCCCAGCGTTGATGGAGAAGTAGAAAAACGAGAAAAACAAAGCTAGCTGAGTTTCTTGCTGTGGTAGAATAAACTGATCTCCTCCAAAAGCAGAAACGCAGGGCTTGATTCCTCCGGTTCCAACAGCGATGAGCAAAAGTCCCAAAATGGACATTCCTTTCTGGGGCATATTTAGCGGTTTTATGGCGGTGAGAGCCAGGAGAATACTCCCAACGGCGTATATCATCGACACGTATAGTATAGTCCTGAATTTTCCTAAGTAACTGTCCGATAAGATAGCGCCCAGAACGGGAAAAAAGTAGGCGAACATTGTAAACGAGTGGTAGATGATCTTGGCGTCAGCGTTTGAGTAAAGTAGGATGTCTGTGAGGTAGAGCACGAGGATGGCTGAAAAAAAAGAGGAAATTATAGAAAGGAATTAATATAATAGTTCAAGGTGTGCGTTAAGGAAAAATATGATTGTCTATGGCAGAACGGAACGAAATATTCTCAGGCAACAGAACATAAAGGTTTTCTCAATTTTTAACCGAAATGAAACAATGTCTAAACACACGAATAGAAAGTGAAAAATGGCGTGTTCAAGTTGCAAAGAAAGAAGAAAATGCACAAAGTCTCTATCGATCCATAAGTTTCCCCGTATTTAAGTCATTCATTTTAAAAGATTTTCTCAAACAGAAAGACTTAGAGGCAAGTTAAATGTTGCCATCGAATTTCCTCTAGGTGGATTAGACATGAACAATAATGCAGCAGAAAATGTGACTCCTTGTCGTTATAATCTATATGCACTTTAGAATCACACTGGATCTACCTACATCGAACATTATACAGCATTCTGCAGACATCCTTATACTGGCACGTGGCACGAATACAATGATTCACACGTGTCACCAATTTCACCAAAATCGTTTGTGAGTGGAGATGCATACATCTTCTTTTATGAAAAACAGGAAACAAGTTCGCACCTTTGAGCGTTTTGAAATATTATTTTTGTACTGTTGATAGTCTTCCAGAGAAAAGTCTGGACTTTCGAAACTCCACCATCAATATTCATTATTTTGATTTAGAGGTGAAAAAAGGGCTGAAAATGGATAGTGACTTCCCTAGTGTGATGCTTGAATTGCTCTCTTTTCCAAAAAATATATGTTGAACTCATAAAATATAAATATTGAGTAATGTAAAATTCAGTTATAATTCAGATGCGTGATTGAGCGATGTTAAGTTAAAGAAAACTTGCAAATTGTTTACCAGTTATTCCTTTATTATGTAAAAACCGTGACTTTTTTTAACCTGGAGACCGCAAACTTTTTTCCCCTCTTGAGTTCATTGTTGAAAATGAAAAATTTTTATGAATAATCTGAGATATGAACAATGAAAAATTCAAATTAAACTAGACATTTTTTTTCCTTAATATTTGAATTTTTCCATATTCACATCATGAAACACTGCATTGTAACAAATATTCTCGACGCCAGCCTTGATTGACCCTTTCCCTTTTCGTCTGGAGAATACTTGCCTGAAGCGAGAAAGATCAACGGGCAGTATGAAAAACAATTCGCTAACGATTTTATATTAAAATGTTTTTAACGTTTCGTTCTCATGTGAAATATTTTATCAAGATGAATGTATTTATACTCACTCACATATTTATCTGTTAAAGTCAACTATTTATATTGGCGCCCCACGTTGGGCACCAATATAAATACAAAAAAAATATTTCGCAAAATTAATTTATTTTTAATATTTTTTTTATTGAATGATCAAATAAAAAATGTAAAATGAGTGTTTTGTTTAAGAACATGAAACAGGACNCTTGCGACCACTCAATGTTGTGTTGATGGGTCCAAACATGGTCTGCTATTCCTGATTTGCTGGTTTCCCCCCGCTGTGTGTGTTTCTTGTGCTGGACAATGCGAAACTAAGAGGCCACTGAATGTGTTGTAGAAACTAATTCAACACAGAGTACTTTTTATATCTTTTTTTTTAATCAATAGAACATAAATAAACAAGGACAAAACATAAACACTTAATGAAATCTAATTCAACACTCTCCCTATTTCATTAAGATCTAAAATATACAGTTCGGAACGCAGAAACTTAATCCTGTCTCTTGATAAAGGTTTTGTCATAATATCAGCCAACTGAAGTTCAGATGTTGTAGAAACTAATTCTACACAGAGTACTTTTTATATGAAAGATAAAGTTGTGGGCGAATTTCAACTACAGCAAAAAGATTAACTTTATTTATAGCAACTATACATCATTTTTTTAATCAATAGAACATAAATAAACAAGGACAAAACATAATCACTTAATGAAATCTAAATCAACAGAATGTTCGCATTGTCCAGCACAAGAAACACACACAGCGGGGGGAAACCAGCAAATCAGGAATAGCAGACCATGTTTGGACCCATCAACACAACATTGAGTGGTCGCAAGCTGAGATCATACACAGAGAGGAACATTGATTTAGGAGAAAATTCAAGGAAGCCGCATACATGCTGTCCAACAACGTATTCAGCCAAGCTAGCGTAGAGATTCTTTAGATTCAGTATCAATTTGCTTCTCCTGTAGATGCTAACCTTGTTAG